CAGCAATCAATAAATCATTGAATTTTCTAATATTGCCTAAGAATTAAAAAGGTGCTTTATGTATTTTGACCCTGATAAATTAAGTACTGTGATGAACTGTGGTCATAATACTCAAATGTACATTTAGTCATTCACATAAACTTGACCATGAAAGACTGTTCAGAATAACCACAGGCACTCCTGCTCTCCTCAAACACTGAATTGATATAAATTCATTGATATAATTCAACTGAATACAGTCGATAATAATGTTAATCGTCTAATTAAGTGCGTAAATCTAATGCCATAAGTAGAAACTGTGAAGTAAAAACTATATATAGTGTGCTTGGTCTAATTACCTTCTGTTCAGTGAGTTTATTTTTTAACCTTAAAAAGGATGAAAATTGACATTTCTGAAGACTGTAATACAGGATAGCTCAGTCAGAGATAAATTAAATAAATACAGTCCCTTGTCACTTTATGTATCTTGTATGTTCCTTCCAGCTGTGCTAAGTGCAGACAACGCTACTTAATCAGGTTCATTAGGATTATTGATGGGATTCTCAGTTGAGGATCATTAACAGCGAAAGATTCCCGACCGCACTGCACTCCACATGCTCGGATGACTAGAACATATATTTCCTCAACATCAGTCAGATACGACCTCTGTCAGATGAAATGAGCTTACAACGCTTTGACACTATAGCGACATGAAGTATTACCGCTGACACAGTGCTGGAGCAGAATGCTTATTGCAGAGGTCATGTTTAGTCTGACCTCCCATTGTGGCTCATTTACCGGCAGCAGCAAAGACCAGGTAACACACGCAAATAAATAATGAAACAAGGTGCTGAATTTAAGAGTGCAGGGGTCAGAGCTTAGCGCTTCTTCTGCGTTCATACAAGAGAAAAATGCCCAATTTCCAATTCAAAATGTGAATGCTGCCTCCAGCGCTGCACTGTGCAATGCTAAGGAGGTACGTACTGTACATGCGTAAATGAGTCCTTATACATCAGCCGAAAGCAAACTGAATTGTGGCATTGTTAGGCATAAGCAAATATTTTAAGGCATAAATGTTGTGAGATAATGTCATAACTGATATCATTGAGAATCCCCACGGCCTCCATTCTTAAATAATGTAAAAATCCCAGTAGCAACAACGTGCAGCATCTATCAGAGATCTCAGCCGCAGCCCACAGCGCAAGCTGACTCCCTTAATGACCACACTGCAATTATTCTGCCCTTGAAACTTCAAATGAATATTAATTTGACTGAATTACATTTAAGGCTTAAACTTATAATTTCTCAAGCAGTGTAGCATTGACTTTTTGAGCATGTCCCATGCTACAAATAAAATTGTCACTGGAAGTTTGCTTTCGTTATGTTAATTAAGTATGATTTTATGAGATGGGAGACTTTGGAAATGTGCCTTTCCATCTTGTAAATATGCTTGCCACATATTTACAAGATACAATTGCGGTGTTGCAACACCACTACTGAACAGCTTGAAACATATGCAGCATTGTAGTCAGATTACAGAACAAATGGCTCTTATGAGGTGGCTCTTTTTAGAGAATCAACAACACAAAGCAAGTTTGCAAAATTGTTATTAATTAATCAAAAACATACATCACAGGCAGTTTTGTCTGATTCTTATGAACCAGTTATTTTTAATGAATAAAAACCTACAGCACAACCTGTGTAGTCTGACTCACAAACAAATTATTCTTATGAACCGATTCTTTTTAGAGAATCAGAAATACAGTGCAACCAGTATAGTCTGATTCCTGAACAAATGATTTGTATGAAACATTTTTTAATGAATCAAAAAACATGCAGCACTGACAGTGTAGTCTGATTCCTGAACAAAATACTCTTATGAACCAATTGTTTTTAATGAATAAAAAACATACAGAGCAACCAATGCAGTCCGATTTGAACAACCGACTCTGAGTTTGTTCTTTTTAGTGAAACTAATACGTACATAAAAGTGATACTTGAATCAGTGTAGTTACTGACTGGTTGTTCATATGACAATGTGCAGTACAGTATTTTATTAAAAAAATCTAATCATATAAATGTTACCACATTTAAAAACATAACCCATCATTTGGTGATGAAATGTGAATTTCTTTTTCCAAATATTTATTCCTCAAAAGTTCTAAAAGAATCGTTAATGAAATCATTAAGGTACTGGAACCATACTGTTTCAGGAATTCTTAACGATTCCCATCACTGCTCATTTGATTAGTTGCAGTTTTAAGCCAGGATTTTGTTGAGCCTTTTTTTGTAGACTCATTCAGCCCTGATATTCCCAAAACTCTTAAATGAATGCAGTCATTTCCATTGACATTTACTTAAATGCATTTACTCCCGGTCAGTCAGATATTGTACGCTCAGAAAAAGTGGCAGGTCATCATGAGCCAAACCATTTTTGAAGATGTACTGTATGTGACACTGACCAGAATCAGAAAAGTGACCTATGATTATTGCACCACTGTTGCTGTCACGTATCCGGTCCATGAACTTCCGTCTGCTAGCCATCAGAGGTCACCCTTCCCATTTCATTGACTCTCGCACTACACACTGTTGCATATTACCCCGGACTACATATCCCATCATCCACTGCACTGATGACACACACACAGTTGATTGCACACAGCACTGATTGCACACAGCTGTTATCACTCACACATCCCCTATTTAACTCTCACTCTGATCCCATTCCACTGCCGAGTATTGTTTAGCGATTATCACTCCCCTAGCGATAGCTACATTACAGAGCCCGTTTAGTTTGTCTTAGCCTCACCTTAGTCTTGCCTTGTCTGTGTTCTCGTTTCTTGATCTTCGCCTGTGTCTCTCGGATTCCTCCTCTCGTCTTGCCCTATTTTGATTCTGTTTGCCCCTGCCTGGACCTTGCCTTGTACCTGGACTTATCCCTCTAGTCTCGCCCCTTTGATTCTGTTTGCCGATCGTTCACCTCCGCTAGCCTTAGGTTTCTTCTTGTGTCTTGCCCGCCATATACCTGTCTGCCATTATCTGACCCATGCCTGTTTTATGACCACGTCTCTGTCTTCTCCTAATAAATAGCTTGCAATTGGATCCGCACGTCTCACGTCTCGTCAGCCCCGTAACAGTTGCATGTGTCAAACGCATGATATTTTCGCTTTAGATTTCAACTGGAATTTCACGGTCACAGGGTCATTACCTATATCCAAAGCTGTTCTGCTCACTCTCTTCGATGGAATGTGCTCCATGTATTTTGTTCTTCCATGAATATTTAATTGGCTGGAGCCAAATTATCCCATGTATAATTTAAAGCAGGCATGTTGTTGTCTACCAGTATGGAGTTCTCTGGTCATTATGAAGTCAGCAGTATTTATAAGAGGTATCAGTCTTCACCACAGTCAGTGCAGAGACATGTCTAGGATAAAACAAGCATCGCTCAGCCATTTGTTCTCAGCTCTCCTTTTTCCAACCACACAAAGGGCAAACCATTATCTACTGCTGCACACCATCAGCAGTGCCAGTAGTATATTTGATATTGTATGCTTTACTTTTCTTTGGTATATAAATGTGTGGGTTTTGCTTTAAAGGAATAGTTCATCCAAAAATTAAAATTTGACACCCTTAGGACATTCCAGATGAAGATCAGTGTGTTTCTTAATCTGAACAGATTTGGAGAAATTTTGCATTGCATCACTTGCTCACCAATGGATCCTCTGCAGTGAATGGGTAGCGTCAGAATGAGAGTCCAAACAGCTGATAAAAACATCACAATAATCCACAAGTAATCAACATGACTCCAGTGGATCTATTAATGTCTTGTGAAGCAAAATGCTGCATGTTTGTAATAAACAAATAATCATTAAGATGTTTTTAAATTCAAACTATTCCTCTATTGCTCTCTTCAGTAAATAAAGTTGTCTCATCTGAATCAGGTGAGACATATGCACAGACCAAGCACCGTTTATAAGCGAAAACCATCCAAAATGGGGGATTTTGATGTGAGAGGACAACAGGGGTTGGAAGGAAGCGTTATTATGTATTATGGATTGGTATTTTGGACAGAAGTGAGGTTTTAAAGTTAAAATGCTTTAATAATGGATTTATTTCTTACAAACACATAGCTTTTCACTTCACATGACATTAATTGATGGACTGGATATGTGTGGGTTTTTGTGATGTTTATCAGCAGTTTGAGCCTTCATTCTGACGGCACCCATTCACATCTGAACAGATTTGGAGAAATTTTGCATTGCATCACTTGCTCACCAATGGATCCTCTGCAGTGAATGGGTAGCGTCAGAATGAGAGTCCAAACAGCTGATAAAAACATCACAATAATCCACAAGTAATCAACATGACTCCAGTGGATCTATTAATGTCTTGTGAAGCAAAATGCTGCATGTTTGTAATAAACAAATAATCATTAAGATGTTTTTAAATTCAAACTATTCCTCTATTGCTCTCTTCAGTAAATAAAGTTGTCTCATCTGAATCAGGTGAGACATATGCACAGACCAAGCACCGTTTATAAGCGAAAACCATCCAAAATGGGGGATTTTGATGTGAGAGGACAACAGGGGTTGGAAGGAAGCGTTATTATGTATTATGGATTGGTATTTTGGACAGAAGTGAGGTTTTAAAGTTAAAATGCTTTAATAATGGATTTATTTCTTACAAACACATAGCTTTTCACTTCACATGACATTAATTGATGGACTGGATATGTGTGGGTTTTTGTGATGTTTATCAGCAGTTTGAGCCTTCATTCTGACGGCACCCATTCACTGCATCCATTAGTGAGCAAGTGATGTAATGCAAAATTTTCCCAAATCTGTTTCGATAAAGAAACAAACTCGTTTATTTCTTGGATGGCTTGAGGGTGAGTAAATTTTCAGTAAATTAAATTTTTTTGGGTGGACTATTCCTTTAAAGCAATGGAATAAAATTTTCTTTCATGTATACCGGTTTTGCATATAAATGTGAGGTTTCAAAATTAAAATGATTTTTCATAGATGCCTGAAATGTGCAGATGCTCCTTGCCAGAAAAGCTGCCCCACCAATTTGGATATCAAGTCTTTCATCACCAGCATTTCCAACAAGGTAACACCTACTACAATGCTTGAACTCGCTCGCTCAGCAGCTACACCGAACACAGTTTATTGATGTTGGCTTAAGTGATAATCTCATAATCCTTTGTGTATTATATTTCTCAGTTAGTTAAGCACAAGCACTTATACGTGGCTTTATTCGGCCAGGTAAAATCTCCAAATCTCTGCTTGAGTCCATGTTTATAGTTGACTCTATTGTGTGTCTTCTAGAACTACTATGGTGCTGCAAAGGCAATTCTGTCCGATAACCCTCTGGGTTTGACCTGTGGCATGGTTTGTCCCACCTCTGATCTGTGTGTGGGGGGTTGTAACCTCTATGCATCTGAGGAAGGCCCCATCAATATTGGTGGGCTGCAGCAGTTTGCTACTGAGGTAAGGTTCTCTTCAATGCAATGGCTAACAATTGCAGATTTTTCACCCTTAAGTCAAAGGTCTGGTGTGGTGATGATTCAAATAAACGTCTCAGGTTACGTATGTAACCATGGTTCCCTGAGTAGGTAACAAGACACTGCGTCCTCTAGGGGTCGCTATGGGGAACGCCTCGTCGTGACCCGTGTCTGAAGCATACATTGAAAAAACACCAACTCGTTGGCTGGCGACAGCCATGACGTCACTACCGGTGCGACTACAGTATAAATAGGCGCCGGGAGCACACATCATTCACGTCTTTGTCTGAAGCTTGCGTCCGCAGCATGGCAAGAAATCTAGAGAACGCAGTGTCTCGTTCCCTACTCAGGGAACCATGGTTACATACGTAACCTGAGACGTTCCCTTTCATGGGAACTTCGATCTGCGTCCTCTAGCGGTCGCTATGGGGAACGGTAGCAGTTATTTAGCTGAGGGAGCAACACACCCAGTTCTCAATTCGAGAAGGGGGCTCGACCTGCAGCGAAAAAACGCTCGCAGTGCACGCTGATTGCCCCCTCGGAGGCATCGCGTGCGTGCTCTTCGCCCAAACAAATAACGCATAGATCGTGTGTGTCATCAGATGTTAAACAACGTCAACACGGATGCACACATCCTTAAACGCTTTGCTAGTGCTTGCCATAATGAGATGAACAGAGATCGCTCTTACCACAGAAATGCACGCTTCAAACAAAACAGTCAATGAAGACGAAGAAGAGAATGATGTGTGCTCCCGGCGCCTATTTATACTGTAGTCGCACCGGTAGTGACGTCATGGCTGTCGCCGGCCAACGAGTTGGTGTTTTTTCAATGTATGCTTCAGACACGGGTCACGACGAGGCGTTGCCCATAGCGACCCCTAGAGGACGCAGTTCAAAGTTCCCGTGAAAGGGAACTTAAAGCTGAAAAGTAATGTAAAAACAATGTATTGTATGTTTGAATTTCAAGTCTTATTTTTGTACTTTAACGTAATGATTCCGTCAGTGGTCTACTGATGGTGCTCTCCTCTGTTCTTTCTGCTCTCTTGTACTTTGTGCTGTCTTGTAGCAGGCTTTGTACGTTCAGTTCCTCACTCACATCCCTATAACAATCACCAGGCTCTTTTTAGTTCCTCTGAGAAAACTCAGTGGGAAAGACTTTTTCTTGATGGAATGGACTTTTTTTTCCAAAGGTGTAAATCAAGAACTAGCTCAGGCAGGGAGAGAAAAAGTTAGCCTTTGCTCTCTTGATTTTTTCTTTAGTTCTTAATCTTTTTGAGAAAAAGTAAAAAAAAAAAAAAACAAGAACCATAGAATTGTTTTTTTTTTTTTTTTTCATGTTGCCTACCTAGTAGCCTACTACTTTGCACTGTCCTATTTGTTTAGCTTATTGGCTTATTAGTTATAGGCAAATATTTATTGGTTATTGTTGTCTGGCTGTGATTGAGTTAGCTGTGTGATTTCAAACTCTTATTTTTAACATTAAATCAGACAAATACTGTATAAACTTTTATACACTACCATTCAAAAGTTTGGGGTCCGTAATATTTTTGTTAATGTTTTTGAAAGACGTCTCTTATGCTCACCAAGACTGCGTTTATTTGATTACAAATACTGCAAAAACAGTAATATTATGAAATAATTTTACCATAAAAAAACTGCTTTCTATGTTATTATATTTTCAAATGCAAGTTATTTCTGGGCAGTATTTTCAGCAGCCATTTCTCGAGTGTACAGTATCACATGATCCTTCAGAAATCTTTCTGAGCTGATATCAATGTGCTAAAATCTTACTGAACCTAAACTTAACTGAACTGTTACTGGTGTATATATTATTTATAAGTTATAGAATAGATTATTATTTTAGTAGGGAAATGTGACTAAAAGGATTGATGCATAACCTAGTGACACTTTTCTTGTTAAAAATACATTATGTGTAACTATGCTTTATTTTATGCACTAAAAATGTCTATATTACAACATGGTTATCACTGGCATTTTTTTCCACATATGACAGCCTTTCTGTAGGATGACCCAGCTTTACAATAGCCTGCTCTCCCTTATTTCTAAAACTAGTGTGTCCATCTGTCAAATGTCTAGCTGTCCCGTCTTCACCCCTGTCTTATCTTCTCTTCACCTGACCTAAGTGAATCTCTCCATTTTCACATCCCCCCTCTTTGAAAAAAAAATCATCCTGAGAGGTCCAGAGAGTCCTGCTAGAGAAGGCCAGCCATACCGTCCCGTCAGCTGCTTCCCCCCCGTCACCTCTCACCACAGAGATGACAGCTCCTCTCTTCTCAAATGTGAAAGGCCAGGGTTGTTTATCAGCCTGTTGATTAGATAAGCCCTAGACAGGGCCATCAACGGCCGCTCGCCTCCCCTCCTCTCCTCAGTATGAGCTCGCCGACATACACAGACCAGTGCCTGCATTAGTGTAAAGCAGGAACTGTACAGTACATCACATACAGTAAATCACATTATATGCCTAGGGCGGCTTCTGGTAAACAGTGAGTTGAGATGATGCAAACGAAGCCTGAAAGGCTTTCTGGAGCTAAATAAGAGAGGAAAGAGAAGAAGGCGATCACAGCATAATGTTATTTCATTAGGCCTGAGCGGATCTGTGCCTTACTGTAAAAAGCTCCAGGGAGGTCAACTTTGAACTGTAATTTGCAGTTGCTTATAAATATTCCAGAGGTTACAGTGCCAGGGAAATAGGATTTATGCGCAAATGTGTATTTTATGGAGCCAGAATAAAGGTGAAGTTTGCTCTCCTCAGGTGTTCAGTAAGATGGGCATCCCTCAGATCAGGAATCCAGAGCTTCCTCCAGCACACGAAATGCCGGAGAGCTTCCACACGAGGATCGCTCTCATTGGTTGCGGCCCTGCCAGCATCAGCTGCGCCTCCTTCCTGGCTCGGCTAGGCTACGATAACATCACCATCTTTGAGAAACAGAAATACATCGGTGGCCTCAGGTAAAGTAAATGATTCTGCAGTGATCCTCTTAACCTAAGCCTGAAAAACCATGCTGGTCTTGGTCTTGCTGGAGGACCACTGTAGTCATGTTGTTCTCCAGAAAAACATTATCAATGTGCTGTCATAGTCATCTTATCAGTAGACTTAGCTGTCTAGTTTTTGTTGACAAAAATACTGTAGGTTGGTTAATTGTCAATCAAATAAACAAGCACAAAAATAGTCATTTTAATAGACCTTTAAAAACAAGTAGACTTACAAAATATTATCAATGTTAGCAAACATTTTGTTAGGATAACTAGTACGTTATTAGAATATTATTTATTTTATTAATATTATATTAAGGATAGGCAAACTGATTTTAAATATAACACAAATGTAATTAAATATGACAGTTTAGAATATTACATATTTATTTATTTGTTATTATTATTCAATGTCATTTTATTAATTTTATTTCTGAATATTAGGTATTTATAATGCTGCTCAAAGGTTGGGTTAATGCAATGTTTGGGTTAATGTTTTAATGCAGTGATGCATTAAAAAAATTTTACAGTTATATTTTTCAGTTACTTGTAATAATAGTTCACATGTTACTGTTTTAATGTATTTTTGATTAAATAAATGCAGCCTTGGTGTGCATAATAGTCGTCTTTTAAAAATATTTGAAAACAAACAAAAAAAAACCTTCCCGACCCGAACCTTTTGAACAGAAGTGTATGTCATAATATTGCTTGCTTATGTATTAATTTATTTATTTATTTGGTTTTGTGTTGGTAATATTAGTTTCTCTGTTATATGTTCCTCCTGGATCTTTAATGAGCAGAACACGTGCTTGAGTGCAGAGAGATCACATGTGCGATTTGAACAGGTGCCGTTTGCCCCGAATGTTATTTACTGAAGAAGTCTGAATGATACACCATCTTGTAATTCCCATTATTATTATTTTACTCACGCCCGATGGAGAATGAGATGTTGTCAAATGCACTATATCTTTCACATGCGTTATGGGGTTGTTCACGTAGACATCGATTTGTACAGCATCAAAGTAACTGGACGTCATTCATTTTCAATGAGAAGTGGCACAAGCATGAGCTAGAGAGACAAAGTTGAACAGAGCTCAGCAGACTGATCGATCAGGGCATCCTGATCATGACTAATCAATAGCGCTATAATGCCACAAAGAAACAATTGCAAATATTAAAAGTTGTATTTGTGTGTCTCCCTGTCTTTGCTTGCAGCACTGCTGAAATTCCTCAGTTCCGTTTGCCCTATGAGGTGGTGCAGTTCGAGATTGATCTGATGAAGGATCTTGGTGTAAAGGTACCAGTGAAAGAGAGATGGGGGGATGTCAGATCCTTCCAACCCATCAACAGCCAAATGTCACTGACATTAATAACCGTGCAGGGAAAAAAGCAAGCTAACAACACACAATTAAAAGCCACATTAGTGAGGCAAGTTGCAAAGACATCCATCTGTCCATTGCCTGAGAGCTGTGATGGTGAGAAATGGCAGTCGATAGTCCTCATCCAGATCACCTGACCATGATTAATTTGATTTTAGTCTTGAGTGAGCTGGAGAGAGACAGAAGGGGTGAGGGAAAGGGTTTCTGAAACTCAATGGAGGTTGGTTAAGGTTAGGTAAGGGGGACATCGACTCCCATTAGCTGACATTCAACACTTTATTCATTTTTTAGCAAAGAAATTCCATTTCCAATTATTTTAATCGAGAAAATTAGTGTTGATGATGATTCCACCATGTTCTGTGAACAAAAACACTTAATCTTACTCGAATAATTACCCCCATTTATTAAAAAAACAAATAAAAATAAAAAATTTCTCTTGGTCCTAAACAGACTTAGAACTACATACAATTTTACAAAAGTCATCTTTACAATCAAGCACTGAAATGTACTAATATTACCATTAATTGGCTTAACAATGTGCTAAATTATTATTTATAATTTAATAATATTATTTATATATTTTTTTAATTGATAAGTTGCTATTAGATATAAACTTTGGGTATTGACCAAAAGTAAAGAAATGTATGTTAAAAAATATTTCAATTTCAAATAAATTGTTCTGTTAATCTTTCTATCATTGAATCGTGAAAAAAAAACATGTTACACAGTTATTTCCACAAAAAAATATTAAGTAGGATAACTGTTTTAAACATTGATAATAATTAGAAATATTTATAAAGCACCAAATCAGAATGATTTCTGAAGAATCATGTGACACTATAGACTTGAGTAATGGCTGCTGACAATTCAGCTTTGCCATCACATAAATAAATTACATTTTAAAATATATTTCAATAGAAAACATTAATTTAAAATGTTATATTTTACAATGTTACTGTTTATACTGCATTATTGATCAAATAAATGTAGCCTTGGTGAGCATAACAAACTTCTTTCAATATAATTAAAAAAATTCACACCGACTCCAAACTGTTGAACAGTAGTTTATATCGGCCATTATTGGATATATAATTGTGCTGTTAATTTCGTTTGTTTTTACTATCTTTAAAACACTAATAATTTAATAACACTGTAAAATGTAATCTTTAGCAAAAAAAAAAAAATGTCATACTGTACATTATAATGTTGTGATGCAGAAACTCACATGTAGCATTCAAAACAACTAATTTTGTTTATTTATTTTTTTATTTTTAAATATTGGCAGATAAAATGGTCAACTTATGAGTATCAGTCAAAATTTCAGTATTAGTCCATTCCTTTTCCTTTACCTAAATTAGTTTTTTTATTAATGTCATGTAAGCTGTCTATGTTGGCATCTGTCTAATTTAACTGGCTTCTACCAGGTGACAGATGAATTACTGCACAATATTGTACAATCTGATTGATATTGTTAGCTGCGCTTTATTATTTGCATTTGGCGTTCCCCTGTGACCCGTGACCCTTTAAGAATTGACCTGTGACCCACCGCCTGTGAACCACAGGTCTATTTGTCATTTGTACTCCAACACATAGCGGCACATGTGACCATAGAATCACTCTGTTTGCACTAATGTATCATAACTATACTCGTCTGTATACTGCCGTCACAAAGGTTGCGGGATGATTGATGTAATTATGTCCTGGAATTCACAGCAGTGTAGAATAATTGACGCTAACATCCTCTTTATGTGAATAATACAGACAGATGGAGGCAGCTGAGACAGATGCAGTGTGGATGTTTTGTTTTTTTTCTGACAGGTTGTTCTTGAGAAGGGACTGGGGAAGAACGGGATGACTCTGACCTCGCTGAAGGAAAAGGGCTTCCAAGTGGTCTTTGTTGGCATTGGTCAGTCCCTCTCTAGAGGTTCTTTTACCTATTTTGTGTGTGCTCACCTGTGCATGTCTTTTTTCTTTATTTGAATAAAACTGTCGCGTGCTTGCTGACTTCCTGTGCCGATAAACGAATTAGTCCCTGCATTAAAAAAATCAGTGTTCTCCTCCATTGGAGGTCACTCTGTGAAGTAAAAACTCTTTTTTTTACTGTCACGGGAAGCGCATAACCCCTGTCCTCATTTCCCTTGATATCTAACTGGCCTGTCTGTGTAATGCTCCCTGTTTCATTGTCTCTTTTTTCTGTCTTCCTGCATGTCTTGTATTCTGCCTTGCTCTCCATCACCCCATCTATTCTGTGTCCTTCAATCTGTCATTCCTTTTTGAACACACACACACTCACACACTCACTCTTTGTTAAATGGCACATTCATTATTCCATCCAGACATGATGTCCATATTTAACCTTAAAGAGATCACCAATAAATGAGAAAAGTGGTTCAGAGTTACCAATAAATGAGAATTCTGTTATTTTTTTTGTCACAAAAATGTATAATATGACTTTTTCATCAATAGAACACATAAGGAATTTTTTTTTAATTAATTGGAAATTCACCACGTCTATTTTCTTAATGCATGTTTCTACTTCATGTTTCTTAATGAACGATTCATCCATGCGTCTTTACTTTTATTTATTTATTTATTTATATGTTATAACTTGATCTTCCATTTAAATGTCATTTAATTTAATCATTTAATCCACTTCCCTTTCTTACAATCTACCGCTACCCCCACAATATCATAAAAAGGTCTAATACATCTCTATTTGAAGCTGTATTTGAGTGAGGAACAGAACAATTTTTTATTTTTTTTTTAAAATCATCTTTATCTCTCTTTAAAGTTCTTGCGAGAAGTAGCGAAGTCTGATTCCTAGGGAATTGTTCTTTTCAGTCAGACCTTTTCAATGAATCAATTGATCCAGTTCACAAACCACAAAGTCACAGCTGTTAACAACTCACTGGAGAGGAAGATCATCAATAAATAATGACTTAATTTTTCTGCGTCTCACAGAATTGTTGTATGACTTCGGAAGCCTTGGAATATGGTGCATGAGTTGTGTGGACCACATTCATGGTGCTTTTTATGGGCATTTTTTAAGCGTGAAAACTCCAATCGTTATTTATTCTAATTTGAAAAAGATCGACCAGTACATTATTCAAAATATCTCTTTTTGTGTTCCACAAAAGAAAAAAAGGACACACTTTAGTATAGGGACCAATTCTCACTATTAATTAGTTGCTTATTAGCATGCCTATTAATAACATATTGATTGTTTATTAGTACTTACAAAACACATATTCTGCATGACCATATTCTACATCCTTAATCCTACCCAATACATAAACTTAACAACTACCTTACTAACTATTAATAAGCAGCAGATTAGGAGTTTATTAATGCAAAAAGTCATAGTTAATGGTTTGTTAATGGTGAGAATTGGACCTAAAAATAAAGTGTGACCGAGAAAAGTCTATATGGACATGAGGTCGAGTAAATGATGACAGAATTTCAACTTCTTCAACTAATCCTTTAATGCTTGGCATTTGTGTTTTTTTCGCGCAGAAAGAAATATGTCCGTTGAGTCATTCTGCCTTCTATTTTTATTAAAGTAAGGAAATATTGTGTGCATTGGTGTATTGATTTGATTTGAGAAATTCAAACATTCCTCAAGGGTGACTGTGTACTTTGTGTTTCTGTCTTCTCCTTATAATTAAAAGGAATACGTATCATTTATTATGTTTGAATAGCACTAGTTTTTGTTAGCTAAGCTTCATTGTTATTGAGACGGGCGACTCTCAGAACTGCTCTGGGATTTCTTTTTCTCATAAAGCAACGGCAATAAGCTGGGAATCATAAAGGAAATGATTACATTTGCGCCTCTGTGATATTTTTTCACCACTTCTCTCATGTTATCTCTAATGTCAGCCTCTACAGTGATTGACATGCAAATGTGTACCTTTGCCTTTGAGAGAGAGAAATGGTTGAATAACACAGATAAGGATGTTTCTTTTCGGCCTGTAAAAATAACCGGCGTGTTCCACGCACACCCTTTTTTGTCATTTTATCATGTGATTGCCATGTCGTACGCTCCCCAGCTCAGTAATTGCTATCATCAAAATATACATTTTTGGACTGTTGCCTTGAAAATATTGTTTTCTGTGTACACCCACTACAAAATCGTTCACAATGGAGGCAATTAAGCCCAGAATGCTTTAAGGTTAGCAGCAGTCATGTGGGTTTATCTGAAGCATTGAAAAAGATGAATGCAGCTTCTAAACTACACCATATGGGTAGGCAGATTGATCTAGATGTTCAGTTCTAATGAATATGACTCTGAAGAGGTCATCCTGGGGTCAGCGTGTATATCATAGTGTCACATTAGTTGAGTTTCCTACAAAAGCTTATGAAATGCCAGGAAATGCCTAATAAATATACTATTTTCTTAGATTAAAGAAAATATTTTCTCAGTGTCACTTTATATTAACTTCAATTAAAAACTTGGTAACACTTTATTTTGATGGTCCCTTTTGAACATTTTGTTGACAATAAGTAATGTTGCACCTACATGTCTACTAACTCTCATCAGAGTATTAGTAGACGGTTTGCTTAATATCTGCTAACTCTTTATTTTCATGGTCTCCCAACAAACATTCTACTGACTATAAGTAATGTTGCAAGTACATGTGAACTTATTCTAACCCTAACCCTACCAGTCTACTAATACTCTACTAATACTCTAATGAGAGTTAGTAGACATGTAGGTGCAATGTTACTTATAGTCAACAGAATGTGTTAAAGGGACCATCAAAATAAAGTGAAACCAAAAACTTTACCATTACTGCATTATGTAATGCTTACAAATCATTAGTTTGACAGCTAGAAATAAGTTCATAGTTAGAAATGTCATTTACATTTTAAATGCTATATTTTTTTAGGTATATTCTCCATGGACTTCCTGGAGTGCCTTCGGGGACTCCTGGGGGAAAACTCTGGATTTAAGGCAATCACTGTCAGGGAAGGATAAAACTGTCTTTTTAAAATTCCCCTATTATGCCTTTTCGAATATTACCTTTCATGCAGTGTGTCATGTAGCTGTATGTGAACATAAACTATCTGCAAAGTTGTGAAGCCGACAGCGCACAATAAATAAAGTTATTGTCTATCAAAAAAAGAGAGTCGGCTCACAATCGCCTAAACGAGTCGTCAGGAATTCAAATCTTATTCTGTTACGGCTCTACGTCACGAAGTAACACATTTGCATAATGTCTGCCCACGTTCTTCAGGGCCAACTTGCCCGCCCACAAACAGTAAAATGTCTGTGTGTTAACATCATGTCGAGAAGACGCTGTATCCTACGCTGTGAGAGTAAATTTGTTTTATCACATCTTATAATTACCACAAACTTGTTAACACTTGACACTTACCACTGAGAAACGTCCTGCTCCAGTCGTGCTTGCGAATCAGTCTCTTGTCGATCAGCCAGTTCAACCGTTTCATCATCTGACTTCGGCTCGAATTGGTAAGGTACAATCGATACTATCTTTTCTATGTATTGACAAGTCTCCAGGGCTGTCATTCCGTCATGGCAATGGGCATTTCGTTTCCGACACACGCTGTACGCGGTAGACCAATCAAGAGCCAATCTCTCTACGGCTCTGGACCAATCACATAGGACTGCGCCATCTGACCAATCACAGCAGTGAGGGCTCACGGAAAGGAGGGGTTTAGAGAAACTGATTCTTTGAACTGATTTGCACGAGTCGTTTACAAATAATTTAGAAATTAGGTAAAATTAAATCTATTTTTTGAGAAAACTAATGTGTTTTTTGACATTGCATGCATGTTAAGGAGACTCATAAAACAATATTAGCAACCTTAAACATGGCATAATAGGGGCACTTTAACTGTTTTGTGTCGTTTTACTGCATATGGCATTTAAGCTGTTAAAGAAAGTGGTCCAAGAACTACTTTTCAACTAAAGTTGAACTGCAGATGGTATATTGGATATCAATATGTTGTGCTTTACATTTATAGCAGAACTTCAAAAAATTGAGCTGGTTACTTTTTATTGTAGTATATTACTTCTTGGTGTTGCTGTTAGTCACACAAACTTCGATTTATGTCCTCGCTGTGGTGCTGATCCAGGAACAGTACAAGCCAAAATCCATCTAAATCATTATTTTTCCCCATTGGTCATGCTGTAAATAGTTAGCATAGAAGATCACAACAGGACACAGAACAGAAAACAAAGTTTTTCCTTATTACTCAAATATAAAATCTGGAAACAAATGTATTGATCCTAATACAAAATCCTAATGTAACTCGCCTCAGGGTAAAACAAAACAAAAACAACTCCTGGAAAATGTCTACATATAGATATACAGGGTTCTGAGACCCTACGTTTGTTTTAGAATTGTCAAAATCCTAACACTTTGTTTATTTCCATGTTTAAATTTAAATATTTAATTTAAATATGTAAAAAAAAAAAAAGGAAGCTGCAATGTAAAAATGCAATATTTTAGATTCTGCGCTATTTCATGGTCACTACCCTAGTGAAAAATAAATATACTAAAATGTATTTGAAATACATTTATTTCATGCAAAGTATACTACAAATACATTTACATATTTACAGGTATGTACTTAATAAAAATACCCTGCAGTTTTACTTTTAGTATACTAAACTGGTATACTTAAAGTCTGCTAAATTGCAACTAATTTTGTACTTAATGCACTTTAATTGTGCGGAAGTAGAGCTGAAGTCCAACTAAAGATATACTGAAGTATATTTGATTGTGCTAAAGTGGAACTATTGCAAGTATACTTCAGGTACCCTTTAAATATCTCTCATTAGACCTATATTATTCAAACATAATACAAGCCTCATCAATAGTGACATTAAAACATATTTTAGGCTTAATCACAAGAAATATTCATTGTGCACAAGTAGTACAAATAAAGTTATTAAATTATAAATTGTATATCAGTAAGTCTTGAGCAATATGTCAGTAAATATCTTAATAGATATAAACTATACCTAGTATGAAATAAATGTATATCTTTTTTTACTTGGGTAATCAAGTGACCACATTTATGACAACGACTAATTTTGTACTTAATGCACTTTAATTGTGCGGAAGTAGAGCTGAAGTCCAACTAAAGATATACTGAAGTATATTTGATTGTGCTAAAGTGGAACTATTGCAAGTATACTGCAGGTACCCTTTAAATATCTCTCATTAGACCTATATTATTCAAACATAATACAAGCCTCATCAATAGTGACATTAAAACATATTTTAGGCTTAATCACAAGAAATATTCATTGTGCACAAGTAGTACAAATAAAGTTATTAAATTATAAATTGTATATCAGTAAGTCTTGAGCAATATGTCAGTAAATATCTTAATAGATATAAACTATACCTAGTATGAAATAATACCCTTTAAATATCTCTCATTAGACCTATATTATTCAAACATAATACAAGCCTCATCAATAGTGACATTAAAACATATTTTAGGCTTAATCACAAGAAATATTCATTGTGCACAAGTAGTACAAATAAAGTTATTAAATTATAAATTGTCAAGATTGTAAGTCTTGAGCAATATGTCAGTAAATATGTTAATAGATATAAACTATACCTAGTATGAAATAAATGTATATCTTTTTTTACTTGGGTAATCAAGTGACCACATTTATGACACATACAATGTGTATAGATTGTATAGACTGTCATATGTTCTTGTTCTTTGGATCATCAAATCATGCTGGAGAACAGGTTTTTTAAAACTGTTTTTAAATAGATAAAAGAGGGACTCGCAAAACACCTTCGGGGTTCCTCGCAAGATTTCATTTCTAAAACCACATCTACTTCTCTACTTACCTTTCCTATAAAATCATTACCAGTCTGTGAATCACAGTATTTCTCTTCAGCTCTTGCAGTTGCTTAATGCATTATAAGCATACGGGAAAAGACTAGTATAAATATAGAGAAAAACTTGTATCGATATAACGGGACAAATTTATGTAATTTTCTATTAAAATAATGTTGAATATACAGTTTTGGAAGTAAAACGAACGAGGCATATAATTTACAATGAAACAAAATGTAAATTGACATTCTCATAATTTCCTGTGTGACACTTAACATTTGATGTTTTTTCATTAAAATAAATGTCGTCTTTGTCTACCTTTTTTTTATTTTATTTTTTTTAAGTTGCATTCTGAATCTACTTTGCTCAAAATATGAAAGGACACAATGTTTCCAATGTTGTTTTATGCACCTGGTCACACATTGCCTCCAGGTGTATTCATCCTAACACACAATATATATATATATATTCTTAATTATTATTTTTTCATGTTGGACAGGTCTTCCACAAGCCAACAGGGACAAGATCTTTGAGGGCTTGACCACCGAACAGGGATTCTACACATCAAAGGATTTCCTACCCTTGGTTGCAAAGACCAGTAAAATAGGTACTGAAAGAGATTCCAGTTTATATTCCTTTCAACATGGTGCGATGTAAAAAATTTAGTGTGAATTTATAGTATACCTTTGGATTCCAGCTGCTATCATTTAACAGTAATTTTACTTTACTTATTTCCTGTTGTGTTCTCTTGTAACAATATTACACTGACCGGGGAAAAAAACAAAACTCTCCTCAATAGTTCTCAGTTGTGGCATTCAGTGGTCAAACTGTTAATAGTTTCTGTTAATGATATTTGAATCTCGATGCACTGAATTTTACTTACAATTTGTGTTATTTTTTTTTCTTTCTGTGGCACGTGTCTTTTGCAGGCATGTGTAATTGCCGTTCTCAGCTGCCAAAGCTGCATGGGAATGTGATCGTCCTAGGCGCAGGAGACACAGCGTTTGACTGCGCCACCTCTGCTCTCCGCTGTGGAGCTCGACGAGTCTTTGTGGTGTTTAGAAAGGGCTTCACCAACATTCGCGCGGTTCCAGAAGAGGTAAAAAAAAAAATCAGTTCAGCAGCACCTGCAGCCAGTGATAAATTCCTATTGAAAGAACAGCTGTATACCCCACGTCCTTAAGAAGACTTTTTCTCTTTTTGTCCTCTAAAATTACATTTTGTGTTGATATTTGACATGTTTTCTGGTAAACTCTCTCTCCATCTCTACTGCTCACTAAAATGACAAGATAGACAGATTATGGTGTACCTCTACAAGCTCTTTTACTCAAATAAGTATTCTGCCTTGAGTATCTCTTAATTTATTATGCATAAATGAAGACAATTCCAATCATTTTTTTTTAAAACTCTGTATAGGTGAAGTACAGTATGTAATATCTGTTTTGTTTTGTTTTTTTTGGTCAGAGTGGATCGGCAGTAACAAAATTGGCTTAACCACAGTGTTGTGGCTGAGCTTCCTGTTTGTTTGCAGTGTTTGAAAGTGTATTATTGTTATTATTATTTGCCCAGTTGCACAGAAATAACACAGATCACCTTTAAAATGATCTTGTCTGGCACCTGGCAGACTGTTGCATAAAACCCTAAAATAATGAAAATTATTCCCAAATGGACATAATGTATTCAAGGGAATGTAAAAAAAAAGAAGTGAAGTTATATTCATTATCCACCTTTCCTCTAGAACCAGCTCAATTGAGAACGTAGCCTAGTTTCGAAAGCCATTGTCTCAATTATTAGTGATATTTTGCAAAATGCTGTCTGTAATGTGGAATAGTTACATGAAATATTAATCGTTTCAAATGGAACCTTATCAAAGTTAACACAGCTAGCTGTAGATTACACAACAGACAGTCGGAATAAAAGCGATAAAAGTCAGCTGAGAAAAACTGAATGGCCTTACCTAATGGAGTAAGCTGACAGTAAAAAAGATTCAGAGTAAAATATCTCTGATAACTGATCTGAAATCTAGGGTAAGATCTGGAGTGGAGTGAGCTGGAGTTAAAAGTGGACCTTTCTCTGTGAACTGAACATCTGAGATAAAAATAAATAAATAAATAAACATGTGAAACTTATTATTATTTGCCCAGTTGCACAGAAATAACACAGATCACCTTTAAAATGATCTTGTCTGGCACCTGGCAGACTGTTGCATAAAACCCTAAAATAATGAAAATTATTCCCAAATGGACATAATGTATTCAAGGGAATGTAAAAAAAAAAGAAGTGAAGTTATATTCATTATCCACCTTTCCTCTAGAACCAGCTCAATTGAGAACGTAGCCTAGTTTCGAAAGCCATTGTCTCAATTATTAGTGATATTTTGCAAAATGCTGTCTGTAATGTGGAATAGTTACATGAAATATTAATCGTTTCAAATGGAACCTTATCAAAGTTAACACAGCTAGCTGTAGATTACACAACAGACAGTCGGAATAAAAGCGATAAAAGTCAGCTGAGAAAAACTGAATGGCCTTACCTAATGGAGTAAGCTGACAGTAAAAAAGATTCAGAGTAAAATATCTCTGATAACTGATCTGAAATCTAGGGTAAGATCTGGAGTGGAGTGAGCTGGAGTTAAAAGTGGACCTTTCTCTGTGAACTGAACATCTGAGATAAAAATAAATAAATAAATAAATAAACATGTGAAACACTAAGGTTAAAAAAACAAACATACGTGAACAAAGAAGACTTATGTGTTTTAAAATGATTAATTCTGCCTCTATTTCCTATACAATATTTGTTTTTTTCAGTTACACACAAATAAACATTATATACAATGGTTATACCTTAATACATATAACTGAATATACAGTATTGTTTGAGACATATTTTGAGACATATGAGACAATTTTATGTATTACACAAGATACATATAAAGTATTATGTAAATTTAGAAAAACTAGTAATGTAGTTAAATGGTGATAGAAAAATACAGTTTTTTGAGGGGAATGTTTAGTAACCTTCACAGTATTGTATGTGTGTGCGCTGTTAAGACTTGAACAGAGGCAGTGTTGGGTGTAACTAATTACTAAGTAATTAATTACTGTAATTTAATTACTTTTCCCTTGAAAAAATAAAGTAAGGGATTACTCTTATTTTTTCTGTAATTTAATTACAGTTGCTTCTTATGTAATTGAACTTAATGCTGTGTATAGACTGTAGAACATTTATACACAATACAATAGTAGATTTAACATCAAAATGTATGACTAACCTTAAAATGCATGCTTTTTATGTACCCTTCTCATTTTAAATACTTTGAGTAAATAAGAATACTGGACACTTTAGTTCTCCAATTCTCACTATTAACTTGTTGGTTATTAGCATGAATATTGCTGGGATATTGGCTGTTTATTATTACTTGAAAGGAAAACACACATACACGTCTCTCTTTGCTGAGCCGCGGCGGTCTCGGTGAATCAGCAGCATCCACAACTGAATGGAACAAAAAGTGTTGAACTTGAAAATTGTTTATGCGCGAGTGCACCTGCTAAATGATGGCGGATTGTATAAAATGGATAAAAAACCGTTTATTAACGAGCTGCAGTTTTATTACATCACGGTGCAGAACAATTACTGATAAAAACGACTTAATTACTGTAACGTGAGTATTTGTAATTCGTTACTTCACACCCCTGGTAATAAGTAATTCAATACTTTTCGGAGAGAGTAATTTGTACAGTAATCTAATTACACTGTTGAAGATGTAATTAGTAACTAGTAGTAATTTATTACTTTTTTAGAGTAACTTACCCAACACTGAACAGAGGTTAGTCTGTCGATTCATCTGTGAAAATGTTTACATGTTTGCCATATTGTCTTCCACTGTATGCTATATACAGTTTATAAATAGCAATTTAATTCATTTAAATCTTACTTTACTCCAGTTTATACTGTATACAATTTATATGCCTATACTTTACCTAGTGCTAATCAGAGAAAAAACCTTGGAGTAAAAGCAGTTGAAAAAGAGTTTGGCAGGAAACAAGTGAGAGAAGTTTCTGTAAAGGTAACCATGTTGAGCTTTATATAATAAGATTTTATTTTTCTGTGGAGCTTTTTAACAAAGTAATTAAGACATATTCTTTTCTCAATGACAACTGTTGAAACGCTGCCATGGCAACAGTGACAAGAAAGTTAAACTTAGAAATGTGTAATCAAAACGAGAGCCTTGTTTCATTATGGGAATCCTTTATCAATCCACAATCACAAATACAACCTTATTTCGACAGATTAGCCAAAAACATCAACCACACATTCATATATTTAGTTTGGATCACATATTCTGTGCTCCTTCACTATATATATCAACCAAGGTCTTTTTGTTTAATCTTTATCATAATATATATATATTTTTTATTGTATTTTATATATTTTTATATTTATATATTTATTACATAATTTGTAAAAAAAATAAAAATAAAAAAAAAAGGCTATTAAACACTTAAAACAAGAACCATATCCTCAAATCATACAAACCAAATGCCAAAATGGCAGTTTTGTTATTATTTATTCACTTCATATCAAATCTAAATCTCTAAACTATTTTTCATAATTTTAATACTTCAACCTTTTATTTTAGTTGCGAAGGCAACAGTTCTCATTTTCGTTAGAGTTAAATTTATTTAAACTCCCTCTCATGTCGTTCTGATCCTGTATGCTGTTATTTTGTTTTGTGAGACAAAAAGTGCAATTTTAAAAACTCAAGACCAGTGTTTTTATCGTTAACCAAGCCTAAAACTATTAAAAAATATATTTTTAAGTGAATTGAAATAAATATTAAAATTAAATCAAATAAAAATATTTGATGAAGAATGTAACTTTAACTAAATTTAACTCTAACAGTTTGAAAATGCCTTAGTATTTGGTTTTTATGTCTTAGTATTTGTCTTAGTATTTGGTTTGTATGATTTGCTTTAATGATCAAAGAGTTACAGTATTAAATATTTAATGTTCATTTGTTTTATATTTTTAGATCCTAAAACAGTTTATTTCCAGGTTTAAATTAGATTTTAAATCCCAGATGTGGCCTCAGACTTTTGTACCTCACTGCATTTCTTTGTGTCTTTTTGTCAGTACACATTCACCCAGCTATTTTCACCTCCTCATGATGTTTTTTTTCTTTACTTAGTGTTTTGTTGTCCCAGTGTTGTTGCTCTCTAGCGGACCTGTCATCCATCCTAAACACTGTAATGTCTCTGAGCAGACAGTCGTTTCATCACCGGCTTGAAGCTCAGAGATAGCAAGCTTATAAATGCCACTCACTCCCCGCACCTTTCTCAAGATATGAATTACTTATCCACTCCAATGGCCGGCAGAGCCCACAGAAGAGGGTTGCGTTGCAGCGTTAGAGAAGAGAAAAGCTGAGATAGTGAGAAATTCTCCCCCTGCAATCTTGGGTGGGCAGGCTGGTCAGTGATTATATCACCACTGGCCAGCGGGATGAGCAGCTGACTGGCTACTTTTACCACTGTGGGGACCCTTTGCTGGACCCCATGAAGCATGATGTTGTCTGTATTCAGGCCCCTAGGCCTCAAAGCAATGCAGTTTTGAGACAGTTAAATAAGTACAGTAGTCCACCAAAAAAGTCTGTCATAATTTTCTCCCTCTCAAGTTGTTCTGATCCTGTATGCTGTTATTTTCTTTTGTGAAAGCCATTTTAAAGACTCAAGACCAGTGGTTTTATCGTTAGCCAAAACTAAAACTATTAAAAAATCTTTTTAAGTGAATTGAAATAAATATTTAAATTAAATTAAATAAAAATATTTGATGAAGAATGTAAGTTTAAATAAATTTAACTCTAACGAAAATTTGATTCTCATTTTCGTTAGAGTTAAATTTATTTAAACTCCCTCTCATGTCGTTCTGATCCTGTATGCTGTTATTTTGTTTTGTGAGACAAAAAGTGCAATTTTAAAAACTCAAGACCAGTGTTTTTATCGTTAACCAAGCCTAAAACTATTAAAAATATATTTTTAAGTGAATTGAAATAAATATTAAAATTAAATCAAATAAAAATATTTGATGAAGAATGTAACTTTAACTAAATTTAACTCTAACAGTTTGAAAATGCCTTAGTATTTGGTTTTTATGTCTTAGTATTTGTCTTAGTATTTGG